GAGTTCATGATCGCGAGTTTACGAACTCGAGTTCATGACCGCGAGTTTACGAACTCGAGTTCATGACCGCGAGTTTACAAACCGGAGTTCATGATCGCGAGTTTACAAACCGGAGTTCATGACCGCGAGTTTACGAACCGGAGTTCATGACCGCGAGTTTACGAACCGGAGTTCATGACCGCGAGTTTACGAACCGGAGTTCATGACCGCGAATTTACGAACCGGAGTTCATGACCGCGAATTTACGAACTCGAGTTCATGACCGCGAGTTTACGAACTCGAGTTCATGACCGCGAGTTTACGAACTCGAGTTCATGACCGCGAGTTTACGAACTCGAGTTCATGACCGCGAGTTTACGAACTCGAGTTCATGACCGCGAGTTTACGAACTCGAGTTCATGACCGCGAGTTTACGAACTCGAGTTCATGACCGCGAGTTTACGAACTCGAGTTCATGACCGCGAGTTTACAAACTCTCGATTTTAAAAACTGTCGAATTTTGAGAATCCGAAGACTGTTCTTAATAGCCCTGAAGGTCGCGATCCCTCCTGTATCTGTTTCAAGTCAAAATCGTTTCTGCAGCAGTGTTAAAAGCATAAACTCGCAATTCATTGAGAGTTCTTCAAAAAATGAAAATTTGCAGAAATCGAAAAAGAGTTTATGCTGCTGGATCGGCTTTGAAGGGCGATTCCAACAGTATAATTTTTAGAGATTTTCGTTCACAAACAAGATTACAGGAGCAAAACTCTATATGAAGAAAAAGAGAAGAAAAGCAGAGCATTCTTCGTTAGATCCAAGAAAATCGCAGATACATTCAACCTGTTTCACGTCTTGGCTCTGATACCAATTATTTATCCCAAAATACTAAACAATCAACAAACATAAGCAGTGAAGAAGAAGCAGATAGAAAGATATGGAGATAATCAAACGAATCTGGTATACCGTGTAAACTGGCCGCTGCTCTCCCTGGAGAAGGAGAGCAGCGGCAAACCCTATCTCTCTATCTCACCTCTGCGCCTCTAAAGCCTCTATTCGATTATTAGGGTTCCCGTAAGTTAGCCTCCTTTTATAGGAGAATTTGGCTAACTTACGGGTTACAAGGAAGCCCCCGGGCTGATACACATTTGTGGCCCGTATTACACGTTTAATTGATAACTACACAAATACAAAGATAACTAACTAGATTGAACACCATAAAATATTCCCAACAACTTCTGTAAGAACATCCAATGCATCAGTAATCTGTTTTTGCCTTTCAATTTTCTGCAGAAGTGATAAAGCTTTATTCATCTGTGGAAGTGGATCCATGGTCAAAATAGTACTCTTCACATTTTCATATCCAAAATTGAGTCCCATTAACAACTGAATAAGTTTTGAGTGATTCTCCTTATCCAGAATACGTTTCAGTAATTGACATGTGCAAAGACTGAGTGCTCCACAAGTACAATCTTGTACAGGATCTAGGGTATCAACATTCTCCCATTTCCTTTTCATATTATTGTAATAATGAATCAACGGTTTATTTTCTTGTTAAAGATTACTTATCTCTTTCTTAATCTGATAAATCTCCAATCCATTAGTTTGACCATACCTTTTTGTAATTTCTGACCATAGTTCCTTAGATGTGTTAGAATACATCAAGTTTTCTTTTATGACTTTATCCATTGAATTAAGCAGCCATTTCATAACCATTAGGTCACAACGAAGCCATTGATGATACATTTTGTCTTTCTTGTCAGGTGCAGAACACTTGCCATCAAGAAATCCAGATTTGTTCTTCGATGCCAAAGCCATGGTGACATCACGTTTCCATGAGAGAAAGTTTGATCCATCAAACAAATTATCTACAAGCTGCTTCAGATTAGGTTGATCCGAGGAAGAAAGGAAGAGCGGATCATCAAAGAAATCATAATTCTGAGAATTATGAGTTGTATGTGACTCAGAATCCGTAGTTTCTGGCATTTTCAGAAAATGAAGATCGAAACTAGAAATTCGGATTGATGAAGATCGAAGAGAAGAAAAGTTCCGATAACTTGAAATTGAAGTTATCGGTGAGAAATAGACGATATGATCTGGATCGTTTACTGATACTGATTCTCTGATACCATATGAAATTAACTAATCTCCATTGTAGGGCATATTATAGCTTAGCAACAATGGAGATTGGAGAACAAGAAGGAAGATAATTCTAGAAAGACGAAATGGAGAATCAATTGAAAGATAGATCAGCTAGCATAGCTATTACAATCGTTCAAACTTAATATATATATTTACAAATTAAGTCAACTATCTAACTGTATACAGCTGATTATCTAACAGAGTGCCACGTCAGGTCTTCAGTATGAGTGCAGCTTGATTAGGTCCACAGTAATGATCTTTACTTAGATAATGAGCAGCATGATATGGCCATGTTCTAGCTAGGTTTATATGAAGTTTGACAAGTGGGAGAAAGTCACAAACTGAGCTGAAAAAAGAACTCTCTAGCTAAAGCATAAACGAAAATTGTCAATACCAACTTGTTCGGACTTGGGAGTTAGGACTTAGGAGTGTGGAGAACCCTGCAAGAACAAACCAGGTTTCCTTACAACTTTATAAGATGACATCAACTTCTAGTTCTTATTTTCAGTTCCATTTCTATTTTATATTTTACGATAATATTGTCTTATGATTGTGTTTGTTGTCTCCATATGTATGATGACCTTAAAATTAAAAAGAAAGAAAGAAGAAAGGTCAAGTCCAAGTGGTTGTACAATGATATGATTTGCTCTATAAAGTATTGTCTCTATGCCTTGTCAATTAAGGTGGTTTTAGTTTGAGTTGGTCCAGTAGGCTATCATTTAGATTAGGGATTGACCCGGCCGGCGGTCTTGGACTGGACCAGGACCGGGCCCGCCACTGTGTGGGACCGAGCTGGGTCCGGTTTTCCAGTCCCGGGCAGCCGAGCTTGGACCAAGTACCCGACCGGGTGGGGGAGGTCTCAAGTAGGATTTTTGGGGATCCGGCTGGGCGGTCCCGGTGTCGGTTCCAACGGACATTTTTTTTTATTGTAGGGTGGGTTGGGGTGGAAACCGGATTCGAACCGGCCCGGGACCGGGTAGACCCGACCAGAACCAGGTACCATACTAGTATGGGTCAGTTCCGGTCTCAAGTTTGGGGAACCGGGACCGGTCGGTCTGGGACCAGGACCCCGTACTAGTATGGGTCGATTCTATGGATGGACTCGGGCCGGGTGGCCCGACCCGGGACCGGTATTGTTCCGGCCCGACCTGACCCGTGTGTTTTCCGGTCCGGGCTCGGGTCACCCAAAATAAGGCCCGACCCGGCTGGGCCCGGGCCCGGTTCAGGCCAAAATTGATTTTTTTTTCATTTTTTTTAAAATTTTCGGGTTGGGCTGGGTATTTTGGGCCATTTGGGGTGGTTTGGGGGTTGGGGTGGGAGGGGGGTTAATTAGGAAGAGGGGGGAAAATGATAATGGGCCCGGCCCAGCCCGGACCTGGTGGTTACCCGGGCCTGTCCCGGGTCCACCACTCCTGAACCGCCGGCCCGCCCGGACCAAGACCTGACCCGGACCCGGCCCGGATTCGAGTCCACCCCTAGTCGGTTCCGGTCTCAAGTTTGGGGAACCGGGACCGGTCGGTCTTGGACCAGGACCGGACCAGGTCCACCCCTAATCTCGATTGACTGTGTGATTTTAATATTCATGAACTTGCATAAAAACACCAACTAGGATAATGCGAATATGGATAATCTCTGATTGAGATAATAATCTTACATTATACGTAGTATTAATTTATTTATAATATACCAATGAATGTTGTCTGCTACAAACACATTTATAATCTAAATAAACGTTTTTTAATATATAGGGAAGAGATCAAATAAAAAGAGGTTCTCCCATGCAAAGTGCAAACAATTGCACTTTTCAGCACCGCGTTGCACTTTTGCGTGTTTCTGTTTCACTTTTTCGCGATGGCAAAAAACTCCGTTTTAATTACGAAATTGCCACCGCGTTTTTGATCAAATTTAGTTCACTTTTGGCTTATTTTGAGCCATTAGATCTCGAAATGAACGCACGAGATTAATTCTCACTTTGCATGGGAAGACCTCTTTGTATTTGAACCCTCCCCTATATATATATAAAAGAGTTAATTACCTAGTGTTTCATGGATGCTCTAATTTGGGATGCAACTAACATCTAATTTGGTGTATGGTATATTCACTCAAATTAGCTAGAAGATGGTAATAACAATTTTGTTCAATGAAGAATAGTTTTGTTTTTGTTTTTTGATAACATTAGGGGCACATCACTCACTACTTTGACATAGCCTACCACAACACAACTGAGGAGCCTGTCACAGATGCTCTAAATCCAAACCCTGATTCACGCCCTTGCAAGAGAATATGATAAGATATTAAGATTGTGATTTGGAGGGTAGGGTTTCATTCTCCTCTCCTTCCATTTGACCCCTAAATATTTATATGATGCATGGATTTCATTTGCAGAAAGGATATTTATGTGTGAGGATGATAGACGAATTAACCTCCATCGATTCCAAGCTACCCAAACAGAAGTATATTTGTTAATTGTTGTCACTCCCTCATCCCTTCCCCCCTCCCCCCTCCACTTGATCTAGAGCAAACCCATAAGTATTGTTTGTAGGGCTGGGAATTATATTCCCAATGCAACCTGATTCTTATGTTTGTTCTGTTGGAAATCAAATTGCTTCAAATCCCTGGATTCTAATTAACGACAGACAATGTTCAATTTCCAACTAGGTCGGTCTTCGATCACCTACAGGTTTTGGTCCTATTATGCTGGAATCAGAATCCAACACAAGGCTATGTCCCAATCTGATTCAAGTCACTCCACTGTTAGTTATTCTCATGTCACTCCAGGTTATACCAAACAAATGGAAACACTACTACACCCACTAATTTTAGTATTCTTATAGTGAAATCAAATGCATTTGTAAGCGTGAAAAACAAATGCATTTGTGTGTGTAAAACCTTAAATAACTTGATGCAGTATGGCAGTATCAACCACTAAAGCGCAAAGATTGAACAAACACACCAACAGCAAACAAGTCAAATGCCTGAAAAACAAATTGCATGTTTTTATGGCTTCAGAGAAATTAATACTTACAGGGAAAAATACACAACTGAAGTTCTCAGTACTATTAATAGTTAACAGGAAAGGATTAAAAAGAAAAACATAGTAATGCAACAACAATTGGCCATATCTAAAAGTACCATTCAGCAATGTGTAAGTGTGTACTGGCCTCAACCACTATGGCAAATCAGTGAGGGTGGCTTGAAACATGAACCCTCTGTAAAGTCCATCGCCATTGCCAGGAACTCCAGTGATCCACCGCCAATCTGCTTCTCCGTTCTCACGTTCCTCCCAAAGAGCTAATCTTCCGACCCTTTTCCCGGAGAAACAAGCTCTGCTTCCACCCCCAAAAACCTTGAACTTGGTTGAATCCTGGAAATACTTAAACATCTCAGCCGGCATTCTCCCGGCCTCTTCCCATTCCAGGCTCTCTAGATCCAACCTGAGAATCAAAATCGTCGAGCAAGAGCTGTGCAGTGAGTAAGATATCTTCAACCCCCCAATCATTAACACCTTACTGTTCTCACCCACTAACAAACGGGGCCGTTTCAGGATGTCGAAAATATCCCCCCATTCGTGCTTTTCTAACCGGGTCCATTGCTGGGTCAACCGCAAATCCTTAATTCTTGACTTGAATAGCTTCCACTGAGATCGCCAGGGAGATCCGACGTCGCAGAGAGCGAGAATCGTGTCTGAGATCAGTACTGGGCTACGCGGCTTTGACGGCAAGTTGGAGGAAAATTTCTGCCAGCTGTCGGGAGCAGATGCAGAGCTGAAATAGATCGCGGCGAGCTCAGTGAGAACGAGGACTTGATTTGGAGAGCCGACCAGGACGGAGCCATGGCGGCACCAAGCCGAGCCGAGCTGAGGGAGGACCTTGAAATCGCGGGTCAGCGGGTTGCAGACGATGAGGGTTTTGGTGCTGTTCGCCGGGAGCAGGCCTGAATTGGGGGTAGGGTTTTCGGCCCAAAGGTATAGAAGTCCGTGGGAGGAAGTAATGGGGTGGTGAGAACGGAAGGGGAGGAATGATAGAGGGAAGCGGAACCAGTGGTTAAGGGAGGTGTCGAAGACGTGGAGAGAAGGGGATGAAGATCCGCCGCCGTTAGAGTGGCGGTGGGAGGGGCGGAGGGCGAGGAGGGAGAGCGGTGGTTGGTTGGAGGCGATTAGGTGGAGGAAAGCCGGCGAAGATAGTGAGGCGTTGAATGATTTGCAGACACATCTGGAAATGAAGATATCGCGAAGCGGCAGGTGGGTGAAGATCTGGTGGAGAGTGTCTTGAGGCAGCAGATTAAACGGAGATGAATCCATTGTGGCTGCTGCGACCAGCTAGTGTCGACTGTCGACGATTTGGGTAAACCCGACAGTGGAGTGACGGCGAGAGGTGGAAAGCGGTTTTTAGCCTCCGGCAAGTTGTGGACTTGTGGTTGTGGCGCAACTCTCGTCTCGTTATAATAAAAATAGAAATGGTTAATATATATGATCAAAATTGATGTTGTTTCAAAAAAAAATTGACACTGACTGTTAATAATAACTTAATCAAAATAACTCATGTTCAATTTGAAAATTAAGTGATTATTATGAGATTATGTTAGAACTGGACAAGCTTCTAATGGAAAACCCTAAGTCCGAACGTCGTTCTTCTGCATGGTGTGTTGCCGTAGTCCCTTTGCATGGAAGAGTCTAATTCTGTTTGCGATCATAGCAGTGCAGAAGGAGTGCAGGGTAAAGTTTCGAATCGCCTTGGCTTTGGGTACATAGTTGTTTCCGTTGTTTTTATCCCGGTTTATTCCGGAGTTTGGTCTCCCTCTTTTGTGGGGAAGTTTTGATCTCTCCTCGCCGATGCAAACCTGGTTGCGTGTCTTCCTACTAGTTTATCTCGTCGAATCATGGGGTGTGAGCTAGAATTGTCGGGGGTTAGGGAACCTGGCCACTGTACAGGTTCTAGCAGATGTTGTGTCGACCCATCACCCCTCCATTGTTTTCTTAATGGAGACACTGGCTAATGCTTCAAAGGTGGAAGGTGTTCGGAAATCATTGGGTTTTCATCACGCTTTCACCGTGGGCTGTGAAGGTCGGAGTGGGGGTTTAGCATTGTTATGGAAGGATGATATTGATGTTATAATTGAGAGCTCTTCCCGAAATCATATAGACACACAAATAGCAGCAGGTTCGAACCAAGGTGATTGGGGACTCACAGGTTTTTATGGTTTTCCGGAACGGTATCGGCGTAAGGAATCTTGGAACCTTCTTAAGAACCTAGCAAGTCATGACGATCTATCATGGTTAGTGGTGGGGGATTTTCACGACATTATGTACGCTTATGAAAAAAGAGGACGATGCCCTCAACCACCGTGGATGATGTCAGGCTTTCGTGATGCGGTGTGGGGTAGCGGGTTAATAAATTTTCCTTTTGATGGTTATCAATTTACCTGAGAGAGAGGACGAGACACGCCGGCATGGGTGGAGGAGAAATTGGATCGCATTTTGGCTTATGATGGTTGGATTAACTTGTTTGGAGATGTGTGGGCTACGTCTGTGGTGGGCAGTAACAGCGATCACCTGCCGCTTTTTGTGAGGTTTTCGAGACGCGAGCCTAATCGGAAGAGGAAGGGCTTTAAATTCGAAAATCTGTGGTTGCGGGAAAAGGAGTGCCGCAGCATAGTGGAAAGAGTCTGGGGAAGTTGTGAGTTGTGACTATCAGCCTTTGCATGACAGGCTTCGTTTCTGCGGAGAGGAGCTAGATAAGTGGGGGAGACACTTACAGTGTGGTTTTCAAAGGCGTATTGAGGGTTGTAAAAGGAAAATGGATGAGATGTAAGGGCGGACGGATGCTGCTGGTTTGGCTATCTTTGCCAAAACAAAGGAGTGCTATTTGGAGAATCAAAATGATTTATAGAGACAATGGGCAAAAGAATTTTGGCTACAACAGGGGGATATAAATACGAACTGTTTTCACAATTCTGTCAAACAAAGGCGGAGAAGGAATCAGATGAAGGGACTTCGATCGGATACAGGTGAGTGGATTACTGAGCAAGGAACTTTGCAAGAGATGGTTGCAAATTAATTTGAAAAGTTGTTCACGAAAGGAGATGCAAGTTCGAAGTAGGAAGTGGGCTGTCTTCGAAGTATGATAACAGAGAATCAGAACACAATATTGCTACAAGATGTGACTGCAGAAGAGGTAAAAAGGGCAGCTTTTAGCATGCATCCCGATAAAGCACCAGGACCAGATGGACTGAATCCATGTTTTTTCCAATATTTCTGGGATGTAGTGGGGCCGACCGTTGTGGATTTTTGTATTAATATTTTTCGGACAGGTCGATTGCCAGAAGGCTGTAATGATACTACCATTGTGTTAATTCTGAAAAAGGATAAGCCTCAATCTATGGGAGACTGGAGATCGATAGCTCTATGCAATGTTGCTTATAAGATTTTTGCTAAGTTACTTGCTAACCGTATGAAGAGATTGCTAGATCCGATAATTGCAGAAACTCAAAGTGCTTTCATCCCAAGTCGATCGATTGTTGATAACATCATTATAGCGTTTGAGGTTCAGCATTATCTAAAGCGGAAGACTCAAGGAAAAGAAGGGTATGTGGCGCTAAAGCTTGACATGAGCAAAGCTTATGACAGGGTGGAATGGAGTTTTCTGGAGGCTATTATGCAGCGGTTGGGTTTTCATAAATGGTGGGTTAATTTGATCCTGCAATGTGTTTCTACAGTTCGATATAATGTACAGGTTAATAATGATATTATAGGTTCTATCTTTCCTACTCGAGGAATCAAACAGGGGGACCCATTATCGCCCTATTTGTTTATTATAATCGCGGAGGGTTTTAGTGCCCTTATTCGGGTTGGTGAAATAGATCGCCACTTGCAGGGGATTCGTTTAGCCAGGGGAGCGTCGACACTAACTCATCTGTTATTTGCAGATGACAGTTTTCTTTTTTCAGAGCCAACGAAGTGGATTGCTTGTTCATAAAGGAAATGTTAGTCCGTTATTCTGAAGCATCTAGCCAGATGGTTAATTATGACAAGTCAAACGTCCGTTTTAGCGCAAACGTGGCTTGGGACGATAAAGATTATCTGTGTGGCCTTCTGGGGGTTCCAGAGGATAGAGGAGGAGGAAAATATCTAGGATTGCCATCACTGGTGGGGCGTAATAAAAAGGAAATTTTTAGCTATATTAAGGAGAAAGTTGTTAAAAGAATTCAAAGCTGGAATAGCCATTTTTTATCTAGAGCGGGGAGGGAGATTTTATTGAAGACGGTCATTCAGGCTATGCCACAACATGCCATGAATGTGTTTCTTCTACCAGTTGAGATTAGTGAAGAGGTGGAACGGGTTATGAATGCCTTTTGGTGGCGGGGCCATGCATTCAAAGGTAAAGGTATAAGGTGTCGGAATTGGTCTGACTTATGTGTTCCGAAAAGCTTAGGAGGAATGGGGTTTAGGAAGCTCCGGGATTTTAATATTTCTATGTTGGGAAAACAGGATTGGAGACTACTCAAGCAACCGGATTTACTTGTCAGTAAGTTTTTGAAAGCACGGTACTTTTCTAAGGGAGAAGTGCTTGAGGTGGGCATAGGGAACAACCCATCACTTATTTGGAGGAGTATAGTGGCGGTCATTCCTTCAGTTCGGGAAGGAACTTTAAACCGAGTAGGGGATGGTACTTCAATTCGAGTATGGAAGGATAAGTGGATTCCAAAGGCAGTGGGGGGAAGACCGGCCGGTGAGGTTGTTAACGGACTAGAAGACATCACAGTAATTAAACTCTTTAATGTCGGTTGATGGCAGCAGTTGGGACTGGGACATTCTGAGGGACTTGTTTAATGACGAGGACCGCGAAGCTATTTCTAGCATTCCGCTAAAAGGGATCAGAGGGGCAGACCAACTGATATGGGCGGATGATAAAAAGGGGAGATACTCGGTCCGAAGTTGTTATAGAATGCTGTCAAACAGAAATATGGACAACCCGGCTTGGACTAGAGTTTGGAAGTTGGAGATTCCACCCAAGATGAAGACTTTCTTTTGGCAAGTGTGTACGGACTGTCTTCCTTCAAAGGACAGACTGTTGCAGCGGCGAGTACCGGTTTGGTCAATTTGTAGCACCTGTGGAGTGGAAAGGGAGAGCACCATGCATATATTACGAGACTGCCCATTTGCAAGAGAGGTGTGGCATTATCAAAGTAAAGCTTTTTCCCAGGTTAGTGCCACAACTTTTGGGGTGTGGGCTGGTATGATTAGCAGCAGGTGTTCAAGTACGGAATTCAGCCAGTTTGTGGCTATATGTTGGAGTTTATGGAAAGCAAGAAATGAAAAAGTTTGGAGGAATAAAAATTCCAGTTGGAGGGGAGTGGTGGCATGTGGCGAGGCTATGCTATATGGGTGGCGGGAGGCTCGTTTCAAAATTCAGAATGAAAAGGAGTAGGCTGTTTGTGATCGGTGGAAACCGCCGAGTGCGGGTATAATTAAAATAAATGTCGACGGGGCGATTCACATGAACGGGGACAGGCGGGGGCTAGGGATGGTTGCTAGGGACGAAAGGGGCTTATTTGTTGCTGGTAAGAGAATAAGGGAGCAGGGGAGACTTTCGGTATGCACCACGGAGGCTCTTGCAGTCCGGGAAGCTATCCATTGGGCGGCTCAGGTTGGGTGGCGACATGTTATTGTGGAATCAGATGCACTTTCGGTTGTAAACGGGATTATAGCTTCTGATGGTATATCGAATGAGGATGGTATTTATGCAGAGATTAGACATATGATGGCAGGTTTGGCTAGTTTAAATGTCCATTTTGTGAAGTGATCAGCGAATTGTGTTGCCCATATCTTAGCTAGGCAAGCTGTTTTGGAGTCTGATTGTTCTTGGGTTGGGACACCACCTGATTGTATTGCTGATTTGTTGGAGAACGATCTTCATTGATATAGTTATTTGTTTTCAAAAAAATGAGATTATGTTAGAGTAATTATTGATTATATTTTTGTAAACAAATTTTATTCCAGTAATATTTTTGAAGAAAAAACATCATGAAGTAATTATAATAAAAGTTATTAAATTAAATTCAAATAAATAAAAAGGAGATTTTAAACAGATCAAACTTTTCCATACCAAACGTCACTAATTTGTAATCGCAATACTTAATGACCAAAAGAAACAAGTTTTACATATATTTTTTCTCCTATAATATTGTTATTGCATTGCATCTTAGACTGTATATTACTTTTATATTATAGACTATCTTCATTCACCCGCTTCCATATCTTTCTGCAGAATTTTAATTACTTAATTCTTTATCGAGCATTAGAAACTCAACAAACTTTATGACAAATATAGCACAATTATATTGCCCCTGCAAAATCATACTCCCTCCGGTCCTTAATTAACTTTACATTTTCCTTTTTGGGCTGTCCCATATTAAACTTTACACTTCCTTATTTGCCT